GGGTGGTTGATGATCAAATTGCAGGGTAAGTAAGTTGTGAATATTCTCAATTATATCATTAATATTATAAATTTTTTTAAAACTAAATTTCTTTTATTTGCATGTATAGGTACACAATGACATATGCAAATTCTGGGTATCATCTAACTTATGCAACTGTTAAAGTAAGAAAAGATTAATCTTGATTTATTGTTTTAATCAAGGAATTAAATCAAATTTTATTGTGATTAATTATATTTTTATGTATATACAGGGTGGAAGCCATTCTCCTACTGAGGGCAACGGTAGAGAATGCTATGAAATGTTTCTGAGATGGATCCAGTCTTATCCTTTGTAGGCTGGAAACTCTCCAAGCTCAAAATTTCTGAACTAAAATAAATATTATATTGTTCAAATGGAACGTGTACTCAAAATATTTTGCAGTATTTAAAATTGTTTAAATTGTTGTTTTCAATATTTCAGTTAAACATAAGTCTGTACTTTTAGATTCTTATCATTAATTGTGTAACGAATCCGGAAATACCAAATTAAATAAATTACAAATAAAATGCAGAAGCAAAATAAATAGTTAGGGTTTACATTCCTTACACGACAACTTAAATTACCAAATAGGACTACGGGAATGATCATTTTGAAGGAAATACAAAAAATTAAGGAAACAAACGAAAAATAAATAAAACAGACATCCTACTCGTAACCCTCTTGTGGATCGGGCTCTGGATCCTGATCCTCTTGATATGAAATAGTTAATAAAGGAATGAGTTACACTAACTCGAAAGAATATCACACTACTCACCGACAAAGAAATAAAGGTTGGTAAAAAAATCAAAACAACTAATGGAGCTCTTAATTTAGCCAAAATCGTTTCTCATAAATAAAATCACTTACCATTTACTTACCATAACGATATTTACAAAACAATTTATACAGACAATAACATAACACATCTCATGATTTCATATGCAATTGCTTGAAACAACAATTTTCTCTTTTACCAGCTTATTAGTATCCATGAGGGTTCATAGGGATGTCCCCACAACGCATGAACCCTTTCCTTTAACGTTTCCAATTAATGGGCCATCTCTATACCCTATCTGATATGAGCGCCAAATTACTAAACTTCAATATCTCGTTCGGTATGAGGGTGAAACGGATCGTCCCCATACCCCGTCTGGTATGAGCGGCTAATTTTCAAGCCTCGATACCTCGTCCGTTATGAGGCAACGTTTACGGTAGGGTTCCCTATGTACCTGCTCTGTCCACCATCTCCCAGGATACCCAGTAAGGCTGTCGTTTCATCCATTCACTTAATCACACAATTTTTCGTTTACCTTAAATTTTTAGTTTCTCAATTCAACCGTAAACACATAAAACAAATAATACATGCATTCAAAATTATAAAATCAATCAATCAGATACTATTATGCATTCAAACTATAAAAATCAATCAACAGTGAATAATTTTTCGTTTCTTACTCCATTAATAATCCGTAATTAATTATGGATATTTTTTAAATTGTACAAAATACCGTATTTTTATTAATTTAACTTCAATTCCATAACATAGAATAGGATGAGGGATTCTTACTCAAATTGATGTATGAAATGCTAAACATGTTGACTGCGCCTACTGGCAGTCCCCGAATTCCCTGAATTTTTCTTCGGGGATTAAAATGCACTACAAGTACCTACAAATATCCCAAAAAATCTAAAATCAGTGTCAGGATCCCTTTTTGGCCAATTCCAGAATTCCGGCACGGCGGCTCCGCTGTGCTCCAGCGACGGCACCGCCGCCCATGGCGATAGTTTGCCTCGG